TTGAGGAAATTGATGAAAGATTTGAAATCCATTCAAATTGCTGTCGTTGTTTAGATTATTTAAGAAGAATTGATTATTTATAATAACCACATAAAACTCTTAATTGCATCAACATGATGCTAGGATATGTCCTAAAGCAAGAAACCGCAAAGAAAATCATAGGAATTGAGGGAGGGGGAATCAGTCATTTATGTTGCAGCTTAGATGACATAAACAAAATTTACAACTATTAGTCGTGGAAATTTACAACACCAAACTTCTTAATAATACTAATTTGCTGTTAGTCTAAGTATTTGAAAATTCCAAGAAGAAAGTTGTTTCTTGGAGATTCTTGGAGAAGAAATTCAACTAACCCAATTATTTCAACCTCACTAGTAAGGTCCCAAGATGTTTTTGTATGTGTATTTTATTTTTTTTTTTTTTTGTGAAAGGCAAAATTTATGAGTTAATTGTTAAGGAAGAGGAGATAAGATTCAGAATAGGGAAGCGAGGAAAAAGACGAGCCATGGTCAAGTACTTTTGTTTGTTTTCTCATATCTGTCTCCCAATGTAGGCCAAACATTGGGCAAATTGAATGGCCAAGATTGCAGCACTACATGATCCAGTGACTAATATAAGAAACCAGAAAACTTTCCACTGCTTCATCTAAAATGCCCTCAAAGTTGCTCGAAATTACAGGATAATCGGTCCATGCACACCGTAGCAACTCCAACTCGCGCTTTTAGTAGAGTAATAAAGAAAAGATTTTGTTATTATCAAATATTACTATTAAAACATCATAAGTTTGTTTCGTTGTTGGTATGATGATTATTGATTAGGAGATCCTCATTTTCTAATGCATGTTCTACAATGAAGCCTTTCCTTTTTTTTATGTATGCCCCTTTGATTTCTGTATTTAATTATCTTGCAACTTGTTGTGAAATATATTGATCGGGTTGCATTCTCATTGAGTATAGATTGAACAAAATTGTGGTATCTAAATAAATACATTGATTAGATATTGGGTTATATTTGATAGTGTGCAATTAGCATAGATGAGATATTGTCATCAAAAAGTTGTCAAAAATGTGAATTAAAAGGCATGCACAACTTAGCTATTAGATTACACTTCAACCAAAATTTTAACAAGGAATACAGAACACTAAACAGTTAAAGAAGTTGAGTTTTTAGTACAGACCAACAAAACAAATAACAAGGTAAAAAATGTGTAAAGAGTAGTAAGAGTTCAAATTTTTCATGCAATATAAGCAATGTGGGGGAGGAAGCAAAGGAAATTTTGTCAAAATTTTAAGGGGTAGACGTAGAGTGAAAGAAACACTTTTAATGAAAATTTTCATAATCTCCTAGTCACCTAGTGGCTAAAATTTAAAAAGGTTAATCACATTTTATTCCCTTAAAGAATTTTTCATTTTTCAGTTTACCCCCTAATCTTTAATTTTGCTCACTTAACTCCCTTTAGGACAGAATTGCCCTTACATTATTTTAACTTTTCATTTACCTTATTTTCCTTTCTTTTATTTCTTTTTTTCTTTCTTCTTTATTTAATTCTTCATCTTTCCCATAAAAAATTTCACCTTAATGATTGAAATTAAAAAAAAAGAATTGCAAAGATATATCTTCTCCTTAAATGATTAAAAAATATATTCAAATCACTTTCCTAAAATTTAGCCTTTCAATTCTTTTAATTTTGGATTTTCCTTTTCCTTTTTAGTTTCTCATTTTATTCCCAAGAAAATATCTTAAAATGAAATTGTGACCTGATTAATAATCATCAATTGAAATTTGTGACATGTGGCATCATACAAAAAATCAAAATTAGTTTTTGATACATTTTAAACCTTCACCCAGAAATATGCAATTACAAATTCAAAACAAAAATTTTCGTTGAAATGGAATTTCTATTGGGAAGGATGAAAGAGAGAAGAAAGAGAAAAAGAAATAAAAGAAAGGAAAACAATTTCATTTTATGATATTTTCTTGAGAATAAAATGAGAAATTAGAAAGGAATGAGGAAAATCCAAAATTAAAAGAATTGAAAGGCTAAAAAAAATTGAATTTTAGGAAAGTGATTTGAATATTTTTTTAATCATTTAAGGAGAAGATAGATCTCTGCAATTTCTCTTTTTTAATTTCAATCATTAAGGTGAAGATTTTTGTGGAAAAGAGGAAGAATTAAATAAAGAAGAAAGAGAAAAAGAAATAAAAGAAAGGAAAACAAGGTAAATGAAAAGTCAAAATAATACAAGGGCAATTTTGTCCTAAAGGGGGTTAAGCGAGCAAAATTGAAGGTTAGGGGGTAAACTGAAAAATGAGGTATTCTTTAAGGGGATAAAATATGATTAACCCAATTTAAAAATATCTCCAAACGTTGGGGGATGGTGGCAGCCCCTGCCTCTATTCCCACTGCCTCCGGGATGTGCCTAAAAATGTTTGTTAGGGAGAAAAATCTCAAGTGAATCCACGGAAGAGGTGTAATACGTAAGTTTAAAACCCCGTCATTGATCAAAAAACTTAAAATGTTAGGTGTCGATCCTTTATTAATTTACATAGTGAGTGGTGTTTGTCCATTTCTTGACTTGATGTAGGATAGTGGTGGAGCACTTGCAAGCAAGTGGGGTCATTTTTTTTTTTTTTTTTGTTTATTGTCACCATTTACACTTACTCTTACTCTAACCTATACAAGGGAAGTGACCCAACAGGACCATGGGAAACCAATAAGAATTGAACCACCATTGGACTATACGAGTACGTGAGGCAAGTGGAGTCAATTGACCTCACTTAATTTTAGAAAATTAGTTTTTAGCCTTAGGTAATTTAGAAAATTTTAAATTTGCATCTTATTTGACTCCACTAAATTTTACCATATTCTCTTTTCTCATATGCATCGACCCCAAACAATTGAAATTTCATAATTCTTACCATCACGACAATTTTGAATTTATTTCAAGTTATTTAAGGAAGTTAGTTCAAGAATAAATTCATCCAAAGTTTCCAAAAACAAGGGGTGAACTGTCTTGAGTAGAGTGAGAAAACCAATTCTTCAAATTTCAAAGTTTCAAAAAAAAAAAGAATTTTTCAAGTGGGCGGTAAAGTTTTTATTTATAATACAAAATTAAGTTACTATGATTTTTATTTATAACATGGTAAAAATAAATTTCTTAAAAGAAACTCGTAGAAAATCAAGTTGATGGTAATTCACAAAATATTTTTAAAAAATCAAGAGTTTCATTTAGTTACATTGAAAAAGATGTATTTAATAAAATTGATAATGAATTGATTTTGCAACGTTTTAAAAAAAATTGAGTACTCGTATGGTATAAATTTAACTGGTATGTAACATTAGTAATTTGTTTTAAAAATATAGGATTAATCATATTTTATCCCCTTAAAGAATACCTCATTTCTCAGTTTACCCCCTAACCTTCAATTTTGCTCGCTTAACCCCCTTTAGGACAAAATTGCCCTTGTATTATTTTGACTTTTCATTTACCTTGTTTTCCTTTCTTTTATTTCTTTTTCTCTTTCTTTTTTATTTAATTCTTCCTCTTTTCCACAAAAATCTTCACCTTAATGATTGAAATTAAAAAAGAGAAATTGCAGAGATCTATCTTCTCCTTAAATGATTAAAAAAATATTCAAATCACTTTCCTAAAATTCAATTTTTTTTAGCCTTTCAATTCTTTTAATTTTGGATTTTCCTCATTCCTTTCTAATTTCTCATTTTATTCTCAAGAAAATATCATAAGATGAAATTGTTTTCCTTTCTTTTATTTTTTTTCTCTTTCTTCTCTCTTTCATCCTTCCCAATAGAAATTTCATTTCAACGAAAATTTTTGTTTTGAGTTTGTATTTGCATATTTTTGGATGAAAGTTTAAAAGGCATCAAAAACTAATTTTGATTTTTTGTATGATGCCACGTGTCACAAATATCAATTGATGATTATTAATCAGGTCACAATTTCATCATAAGATATTTTCTTGGGAATAAAATGATAAACTAAAAAGGAAAGAGGAAAATCCAAAATTAAAAGAATTGAAAGGCTAAAAAAAATTATATTTTAGGAAAGTGATTTGAATATTTTTTTAAATCATTTAAGGAGAAGATAGATCTCTGCAATTTCTCTTTTTTAATTTCAATCATTAAGGTGAAGATTTTTGTGGGAAAGATGAAGAATTAAATAAAGAAAAAAGAGAAAAAGAAATAAAAGAAAGGAAAACAAGGTAAATGAAAAGTCAAAATAATACAAGGGCAATTTTGTCCTAAAGGGGGTTAAGTGAGCAAAATTAAAGGTTAGGGGGTAAAATGAGAAATGAGGTATTCTTTATGGGGATAAAATGTGATTAACCCAAAAAAATATGTTTTATTGTACTAAAATTTGACCCCACTTAATGTCTCCGCCCCTGATGTAGGACACAATTATCCATTAATTAATCTAACGATCCTTCCTTTCATGAGTTGTCCCTCACATTGAACCCAAATTTACAAGCAAATTTTTAGAGATATGAAGCCACTGCAAATGGTGCGGCTAGTTGTGTTGAAGCATAATCAGGCCCTGTTTACCAGATGTCAGTCTTTTGATCGTTGCATGAAAATGCCTTCTTGCATGTCTTCATGCATCAATTTCAAACTTAAGTAGCCCTATGTTTTACTCTTTTGGTTGCCAATTGTCTGTTCTTAACAAAAGTTCATCTCTTCAATTTCTTATTCACACTAATACAGTTGAAGATGCCCATTTGTTGTAAGGGCAATAATCCTAATCCAGAACCCTCTATCAGTTAGAATTTCAAGTCGCGAGCCATTTCACTTTATTTATTTGCATCTTGCACAAGCATTAAAGTCAGGCTGAGTCAGTCCATACTTTAGATACATAATTGAGGTGTTGTAAAGTTTTGTTTTTGCAAAAGAGCTTCACACTCATAGTCACCAACTCATTTTTAAACAACTAACACACTGAAAAAGACAAGGAAAGAGGCTAAAACTTCGAGAAAAGGAAGGAAAATCGCATGTTCAATTACTCAGATACAGAAAAGTAAAGGATGAAGGAAATGCATAAATCACTTTTACACAACCTAATTTTACATAATAGACAGTGTGTCTGCAAACATGACATTCGGATATTGTTAACAGTTTTTCTGTATAATGTTTTTGTGTGTGTATAATACAAGAATAGCACATATACAGGAACATGCTTCTTGAAGAAGTTCGCTAGTCTGTTGCCTATGAAGCATAGGAGAGAGAGGTAAGAGTACTCCAGCTGTGATGGATAAGTTCTGCTTTCCATTTTTCACCAGCAGCACCCATTGCTACATGTAATGGGTAAAAATGTTCAGGCCAAGGATGAGCTTCTTTTGCATATGGTGCCTTCTCTTCATACTGGTTAATATCCTCATACCTACCAAAACAGCAGTACTTATTACCTTCTCTAATCAAACTATTGACTATTTGCAGCATTTAGCTTGTGCAACCATCCAACTACCCAACGCAACTGTTATGCATTTACAGATGCTGCCTACTAGATTAGATGGTGGTTATGCAAGTCAATGTGCTTATACTTTTCCCTATGCATTCTAGAAATTCTTTTGCAAAATTTTGCAAGTTTGTTTAAGGGTTAAACACAAGAAAGCCCCTTGTGGTATACTTAATACACAAAAAAATCCCTCATGGTTTCAAAATATACAAAATGACATCTCATATTTTGAACTAAATTGTAAACTAACAAAATTCGTTAAAGTTAACGAAAATGACGGTTTTCAGCTGTTAAACTTACCGAATTTTATTAAATTTACTGTTAAGTTTACCAGATTCCGTTAAGTTTTTCATTAAATTTACTGGACTCCGTTTCAACAAATTCTGTTAATTTACAATTTAGTTCAAAATATGAGGTGTCATTTTGTATATTTTGAAACCACGAGGGAATTTTATATGTATTAGATATACCACAGGAGGCTTTTTTTGTTTTTAACCCTTTGTTTAATAGAATAATTTACCTTCCTGCAAGGATGGCTTCTTTGAGCCAAGTGTCAAACTGCAGAACACAAGGATCAATCGAAGTAGATTCAGCGAGACTTGTATTGTGAGTGGCAGCTCCTGAACCAATTATAAGGTAGCCCTCATCCTTGAGAGGGGCCAATGCTCTTCCCATTCGATAATGGTAAGTCCCATCCCGGCTTGGCTGGACAGATAGCTGGCAAACTGGTATATCAGCATCGGGATACATAAGCATGAGGGGAACCCATGCTCCATGATCCAAACCGCGCTTCTTATCCTCCTCTACCTGATCAAAACCTGAGGCAGTCAACAGTTCCTTTACCTTCTTTGCCAATTCTGGAGCACTTGGCGCTGGATACTGGATCTGGAATTTAACAGTAAGAACATACATACAGTTAAGCATGTGAATGATCTATGGACATATGTGAATTTTGTACATTTCATTATGTACATCATACTTCTAATATGGCCTCCTATGTTGGTTGAAAGCGTTACCCTGGTTCTTTAAAGTGGAATTTCATCAGGAAAGATTTTTCATCCCCTTATATGCACTTGTTGCTTCTGATGATTACTGTCAGGCAACTTACCTTGTCAAAGCTTAAAATAAAAAAGATTGGCCAAATTCATTTTTCTTCCTCAAATGGAGATTCTCTGCAATTGGCCACAGGTGTTATGTTTATCAGTCTGAAGCTTGGATAAAACTAGTAGCCGTTAACAGATTTTGTTTTTGATCCAGTATGCTCTTGTTATTGCCCTAGTTGATGAATAAATGTTCCCACCATAGCAGTTATTAATCTGCTTGCGCTTTTTTCTCAAGAATACCTACGTGAGCTGGAAGCAAATTTCTAAATAGGTGTTTCTCAGTAGAAATCACTGTGGATCCAAGAATTAATAGACCATTGTTCCTTATTTCCCAAAATGTGTGGTGAGTAAGATCAGAATTTACAGGACTTAGATTTTAAATGACTGTAAAAAAACTCATAACAAAACTTTGTTACAGTGACTTACTGAACTCAATAACATGATCACACAAAAGAGAATCCGGTGTCAGTAAAAGTGCAGCAGAACAAACTTTCCAAAAAAATATCAGATTTCTCGAACTAATCTTCACATATTGAGAGAGTAGAAACACAAAAATAACAATCATGTTTCTCTTTTACTTCTATTTCCACCATTTTCCCATCATGTTCAAAAATTTCTTTCGGATCGATTTATCTACTTGTAATTCCAATGTACACCAACTTATACATGGACATGCACATACTATATGACTTTAATAGCGTATACACCACATGAACATTGTATACTTAATCAGTGCATGTGTGAGCGTTAATATGCAGGAAACTAAGGCAGAGATAACGAAAGAAATTTAGCAATAGGATGATGATTACATGAGGGTACCTGGTACAATGCCCTGGGGAAGTTAGAGATGAAGTCATGGATAGTATCCTGACGGCCAGGGATCAAATTCACAGCTGGTTCTGAGGTCTCCCAATGGGCAGAAATTATCAGAATGCCTTTAGGTCTCTGACTGAACACCCTTTCTTTGAAAGCCAGCAAGAAATGTCTTGCAGGAAATGAATCATCCAAAGATATCATTGGTGATCCATGTGATATGAAGAATGTCTCCTTTATAGCTCCCATCTTATTTTTTCTTCCTATCTTGCTCTCCAGCTTCTTTGTTTTTCCTACCAAGATTGAAGCCTGCCAATCAGCCAAGTTCTTTGATTCTGTTGTCATAGGAGCCTCATATGCTTAAAAACAAATTGCAGAACCTTTTTTCTTTGTCCTTCTTTTTCTTTATTCCAAAAGTTTTTGAAGCATGTTTTGGCTGTTGCTGGCGACTTCTTTCGTCCATTCCTCAATCAATATCAAAATGCTGAGTTGAAATGCTGGCGACTGCATGTTTTGGCTGTTGCTGGCGACTTCTTTCCTGTCCATACCTCAATTAATAATAAAATGCTGAGTTGAAGTTTGAAATCATTGAAAAACCGGCTAAAATAGTTCCAGTAGATCAGTGGAGACAAAGTGGGGGCATCTGCTCCACTCAGCTCACCATGCCCAAGTCCTTGTCCTGGTACCAATGTACGTGCAATAATTGCGAAGAAGTTTAAAAAAAGTGCTAATTACAATTATATTTGCCCCATTGACGAGCAAAAGCAAGTATCAGTGAGCAAAAAATATATTGCTCCCACCAATATTTCAAAGGATTTTTCTAACGGTGCTTTCAATAAAATATTTAAATCATACCTAAGTTACCATGTAAATGCACACATTCACATTTATTGCACCCTTGAATTGTGATATTTTTCCAAATCAACCATACTTTTTCAAAAAAAAACAAACATTTGAGCCACCTCTTGTTGAGTGCCCAAGGGCATTCATCAGCCAAACCATATTTCTAATGGTAATTATGATTGATTGATAGAAAAACTAATTTAGAAAAATATTGACAATAATCTAGCTAGGAATCCATTGTTTTAGCCCTTTATTGTAAATAAAAACAGCGCCATATGAACAAAAGTTCTAAGTTTCTGTGTTGGCAGTTACCACTTTCAAATAAGCTTTTATAAAGTCAGAGAAATATTCATAGCAAATGCAATATGTCAAATTCCAAAGCGATTCTTTCAAAGTTCAACATGAAAGTTTTCCATCCTTTATTTTTTTTTTTACAGTTTATTTAACAACTTTTCTTGTATGTAAATGCTTTTTATTATTTAGTTGAACCTAAACATAAAGTTACCTGCAGGAATTGAAGCACCAAAAAAGATATGGAAGAGCGACGTGAGAGAACATAGAATGTCCTGAAAGCAAATAATTTTGCCCCCACGAAATAATTATGTTTGGATTTTAGTTTTGCCAATAAAAAAATATTCATTTTCCAAGAACACATTTTTTAATTATCTTTTTATCTCACATATATCAAGTCGTTATAGTACCTTTTTTTCACAAAACTCCAAAAAATAGTAATACAAATAGTTCAACTCTAACTTCACCCCTATTTTGGATTTCATGTTGAATGGTACTTTTGCAGGCTTCACTAGTAGGATAATAGAAAGTTAGAGTGCATAAAAATTTCGAGTTTATCTTATTATATATACTGATAATATATATACTATTATCATTGGATACATGTCACATATGCAAAAAAATGATAGTCAAATTTAAATTCAGATTAAGTGACAAGCATACAAAGATAAAATTATATACACTATCAGTGTATGCAAGATTAATCCAAAAATTAATTATAAAATGACATTTATGGTCAACTAGGCATGAAGGTTTGAAGGAAATCAATAAAAATGCTACCTTCACCAGGATCACTTTCTTAGTGTAATAAACTAGGGGGGAGTGCCCGCGCATTGCGCGGGTGTTTGGTCCTTGTGGGGAAGGAGGTTTTTTTTATTGAACAAACAATAGTACATTGTGAGAAGAAATAAAACTTAGTATGAAAAGATAAACGATATAATCAATCAATTCACACAGCGTTACTATAAACTATATCAAATTGAAGGTCGTTGATAATGCAGAAAGGCAGAGCAACACAGAAAGCTAACTTTATTCCAGAATCTTCATCGAGAGCTCTTACTTGCTATTGCTGCAAACCTATAAAATTATAACCAACTCAGACCAATTGGGGTTAGGCAACGCGATAAGAGTCGCTAATTGTAGGTACTAAGAACACACCGACAAAATTAAGGGAGGAACTAAAAAATTGGGGGGGGGTGACATCTAACCTCACGCTGAACCACCAGGAGTAGCTGGGACTGAAGAGCATTCTGAGCTGATTAGCATGAAGCCGGGTAGAATTATTTCAATCCTAAAATGCGAACAGGGAGAAATTGATAATCAACAGTTTAGGCATTAACATTAGGGGTGGCAATTTCCGACACGACCTGAAAACATGATACAAATCTAACACGAAATTAATGGATTTGGGTTGAAATTTCGCAGGTTCGGGTCAGAATCGGGTCGAACCTGATGGACCCAAAAAGAAAATGAGTCGAATTTGGGTCAATCCGTGAGTGACCTGATATGACCCGATAACTAGTTTTATGAATTAAAAATAATTTAATAAACATAAAAATTATTTTATCTAACTAAACTAAGTTATTCTTTTTTTTCCAAAGCATTAATCACTTAGTCCTAAATGAATTTATTTAACTTTGTGAGGTTGAAATTATTATATTTGGACAAATAATGTATTATATTATTTTTTACTTTTATACTGTTTTAATTTATTTTATATTTGGTTTGGGATAAAACACTTTTACAGTGTTTTAATTTATTTTAGATTTGATTTGGGATTATTTATTTAAATTTTTATCACTTGATTATGTAATTAGTCTTGTACAAAATAAATTTTATTAGAAATTACAGTGATAAATTAATAAATAAAAATTAAGTTTTGAGTCATTTCGGATTGACCCGCCAACCCGCCAATTTGAAATTTTCGAATTCGTGTCAGGTATTCTGACCCATTTCGGGTTGGCGAGTCAGGTTTAGGTCAGCGGGTTTTCTGTTACACCCGAGTCTCAACCCGACCCGCCAACCCGAAACGGACCCAATTGCCACCCCTAATTAATATACCAACGGTTGAGCAATTGAATTGGATGTAATTAATGGCGAAATAATAGGTAATTTCAGAGTTGATCTCAGATGGACGAGAAAACGATAAGGCAAATCGTTGTAGACAAAGGCAAAAAGGGGAAACTTAACTCCTGAAACTGAAAGGGGATAAACTGACCAACGTTTATGACTCATAAATATAGATTATAAATGATAGATAAATGAATTCCTACTATTGATAGAGAAATCGTTGGCTCATTTCCTAAATCCAATTGCCATTGAAACGCTTCAGACAAAGCAACATCTCAAACGGTTATTTGCGGTTGAAAAGGGGAATTATTGGTAGTTAAGGGATATTCCGGTAATTACACCAACATACAAGCATATATGGGTTGTACAAAATGCAAAAATGGTTGCACACTAATTAAATATTCCATCAATACCGAGATGGCTCATCAATAACAACTTTAAATGTATTAAAATGGGGTCATTTCAGTAAACATACCCAAATACATGCTTCCTTAACTTGTACCTAAAGATTTTAAACTAATACACAATATTTCACATTCCCAGAAAGCCCCCACCTATGCGGTTGAAATTCAACCTATTTTTTGACCAAAACTCAATCTTATATAATATAAGGATATCGACCAGGTACATTCATCAGATTATAGTTTGAAATTAATGTCTTTGTCAGATTACTTTGTATGGTTATTCTTTTCTAATAAGTGAGGTATGACCTAGTTTTTACGCCATGCAATAACTGGATTAACTAATCGTTAGTACTATTTAGCAAGATAAAATTAGAGAAAATTGCACATGTAATCCCACGCATGCTTATTTGTTTTCTTTTTGGTCCCTCAGATATGAAACAAAACATTTTGGCACTGAAGATTGGAACAAAACAGCATAGACGACTAGAGGGGGCTAGAAGCGCCTCCCGCGGCCACCCCCAACACCACACACAAACACACAAAGTTTTATGAAATTTCATCTTAAAATTTTGATATCTTTGAAAATGGCGTTTGTAAATTACACTTTGGCCCCACAAAATTTGAAAATCGATTATGTAGTATACTTAAGGTTGAAGTAGTTTAGAGTTTGCCCCTCAAAATAATTTTTTTGGTTTCGTCTACAATAAATATTTCAATCCTTTATGACGGCAAAAGTCTTGGGCTCTTAATTGCAACTTGCTCTTTAATCAAAGTAAACTAGTTTAGTTTCTATTTAATTTCGTCCCTTCTTTTTTACGGAATCTTTTTTCAGTTGGCGTAACATAAGATAGAAAAAAGGGAAAATATATCTAATTCCTTGGAGTTGATTGCTTAGAACTTGTTGGAATCTAAAATAGTATTTCTACTGTTATTTCCCTGTGCGTGGTGTTATTTGGGCAGCACACAAGTTTTGCTCGTTGTGTAATCCTATAGATTGTTTATTTGAGCAAAATACACAGTTCACTGATTGTGTAATCCTAAAGATAGTCCTCCCGTACTTTGTTTTTGCTTATTTACATTCTTGCTTCTAAGGTGTGGAATTTATGCTTACCTCGTTAGATCCATGCATGTTTATTGTTACCTAGTCCAAACAAAGAAAAGCACACTAAACCTCATGGACATCCAACCTTCGACATCTCTGGCATGAGTTTATCCATCGAATATGGTCAAATTAAGACTAGAACAAAGATTTAAGCCGAAATTCATAGACAATGGTTTGTTTGGATAGAGTATTATTTGAAATATTATTTGGAATAATTACTATAGCACTTTTTGTGATAAGGTGTATGTAAGATAAAAAGTTGATTGGGAATATAAAAAGGTGGGTTGGGAAATGTGTTTATGATGCAAGCGAAATATTATTTGGAATAATATGTGTATCCAAACAAACCTACGTGGAGCAGTTTTAGTGTTATAGAGAAAAGCTATAGTTATACCAAATGAAGCAGTTGGGTGGTAGGAATTACAAGGGTAATTTTTTTCCCATAATAAAAAAATTTTGGTGAAACCGTTAAGTTGTACAACTGGTGTTAGTTTTTAGAGCGAAATTTGCGTACTTTGTGAGTATAGGTATTGATTTACAATTCACCAATAAATATACAGGGCATTTCATAATTAAGCCTAAAATGTAGTATCACTTTTAAGAGTTAACAAATAAAAAGGTGCATTTTTCCTTTTCTGCGAATTGCGACCGCCTGGTTTTGTAGCCGAAATGCCACTAAACTGAGGGGACAGCGTTTGGGCCTTGTTATTTTAAGCCCAAATAAATTAGGCCCAGTTTAGAATATAAGGCTTTTTTTAAAAAAAAAAGTAGAATATTAATGCAATCAA